GCGGGTGCGCATGAAAATAAAGGAGCTGCGGCAGGCCTATGCCAGAGCCACAGGGGGCAGCTCCCAAAGAGGGGCAGACACCTGCTCCTATTTTGACGCCCTGAACCGCATCCTGGGGGGCAGGACGGTCTGTGACACCCCAGGGGTCATCGATCTTGGAGCAGAGGGCCCTGACCAGGGCATGGAGGAGGAGCACCAGGAGCTAAAGGAGCCCAGAGGGAGTGTGCCACGCAGCCAGGACCCCCGAGCTGGCAGACCCTTCACCAGTATCATCGGGGGAGGCAACAACATGTGAGTGCCATCACTGTCCCCTTCTGGGGGGTGGGGAGGGAGACCAGGGACCTCGCGCGTGGGCCTTGCTTACCACAGATCACGCAGCAACCTGTGCACGTGCGAGCATGTGCTGTGCCACCCCTGGGCACATGGCCCCAGCTGGCTGCCACACAGAGGCCTTGGCCTGTTAGCCACACGTGTGTGAAGAGACATGACATGCTCCTGACCCTGGGGTGGGACACAGCAGGGCGCCCTCCCTTCACAAGCCCACTCCCTCCCCCCAACCCACACTATACACAGCACAGGGGCATGGGTGCAGTCTCGGGGCAGCTCCAACTCTTGGGGATAGCTGGACATCCCAACCATAGCCTATGTACAAGCACATCAGCTCTGATGGTGCAGGAAATGGTCATCCTCACCTTGCACAGGACACAGCACAGGGGCATGGCTGCAGTCTCGGGGCAGCTCCAACTCTTGGGGATAGCTGGACATCCCAACCATAGCCTATGTACAAGCACATCAGCTCTGATGGTGCAGGAAATGGTCATCCTCACCTTGCACAGGGGGGCTGGGCTTCACCCACTGTGTCTCCAGGGAGAACTGACCACTTCTTTGTTTCTCCACAGCCACACCAGCTGCGTGTACAGGGCGCATCACCCTGCCCAGGACATGCTCTCGCACCCGAGAGCTCTGCAGGCCCACCCGTGCAGTGGAGGGGTACCGACAGCAGCACCTGGGGGCACTGCGAGCCCTGCACCGCACCCTCCAGAACTGGGCGCAAGAAGATCTGGAATTCCGGTGGGAGCAGCTTGCCCAGGGCTGAGCCATCTGCCAACATCTGCAGGCCCTGGTGCAGAGCGTGCTGCCTCCTGCTGCTCCAGCACCTGCTGCCTCCCCAGCTACCGCTCCTCCTCCCACTCCTTCTCCCCCTCCACACCCTCCCCATCCTCCCGGGGACACCGAGGCTCCCCCATCTGCAGTGATAGGAGACAGTTGGCCCAGCGAAACCCCCACCGCTAAGCTTCCCCTCCCCCTTCTTCCCCTTGCTTCCCCCTTCCAGCTCCCTCCTTTCAGGTTTCCCCCTCTCCTCTCCCACTCACTCTCCTCCCCTTTCCCGCCTCCTTTCCCCAGTCTCTCCAGAGTTTCATTCCCCCCCGCCCAGTTTTGTTAAATAAAGACAGTTCATGTTTATGAAATAATGTGTATTTTATTTGCCATCATCGAGATAGACAGGCAAGCAGGGAAACCTGAGAACCAGCTGTCTGGAGGGGAGGGAGTCGCCTTTAAGCACAGACCTCATTTAGCCTCAGGCAACAGCCACACAAGGTAAATCCTGTCCTGGTGCCCTGCTGGAACTGGTTCCGACCAGCCTTAAATGTGATTCACAGTCCACTCAGTGTGGATGCGCTATTTCAAAATGCATTTTACATGTAGGCACGTTATTTTGAAATAACTTATTTTGAATTAACTATTTCAAAATAAGATATTTCGAAATAATGCTGTAGTGTAGACATACCCAAAATGTAAAACAGAGCTTACATTTCTAAAAAAAAAAGTTTGTGGTATACTTGTATTACTGTGACAAGGAGTCAAAGGGTTGTCACAAGGCTGGTGTCATTAAATCCAAATGCAGCAGAAAGTGGTAGGGCAGAGAAGGTAGTTGCAACACATGCAAAATAAGGGAAGTCTTGTTATAAAATGAACGTACAAAGGTTTGCAGTTTTAAACACTAGGCTTCCCAGAGAGAGGTGTGGACCGACCAGTATGAAGAAAAGAGATGCTTGGTGTAAGTTTTGAATGAATACTATGTATTGACCCAGTGGCCTACTAAAAATCAGTATTTTCTCTTCATTCACAGCATGGCCGTACCCCTCTACATCTTGCTGCCTACAAGGGGCATCTCCATGTTGTCCAGATTTTGCTGAAGGCAGGCTGTGACCTGGACATTCAGGATGATGTAAGTAGATGCAACCATTCTTATACTGAAGGTCCTGCTGTTTCAATCAATGGTTCAGTTTCCAAACAGAGTTAGAGTTTTGCTTCTTATAGGTAGGAGTCAAATTAGAACAGAATCAGGCTTCCGCCTTTTCTAACTTTGAGTTATAACAAGTAGCACTCTACCAGAATCATAGTGAAATTTAGTATTTTTTCAAGCTGTAGCAGAGCATTAAAAGATGCTTTTTTACTCCAGGACAGAGTTAGTAGCACTAGAGGGTTGCCTGCCTGTGTAGAAATATAAGCTCATTTGTGCCATGCAGGAGCCTGATTGAAGCACTTTATGTGATATAATCTACCAGGAATGTTTGCAACAAAGTGGACTTCATAACGCAGGAGACACTCTTCTCTAGAGAGCATGGAAAAATGAGCCATTGGCTTAAAGTACTGTATCACCACAAATTGGCTACCAGCGGAATGCTTGCAGTATGAGTTATTCCCTGTGTCTTGTAAGCCTGGGATGATAAATGAACAGTGTAAGTTATTTGTGATCACCTTTACAATTAGCAGATGATAGTTTTAAAAAAGTGAAAGATAAATCATTGGTAATTCTCAGTTTTTCTTTAATAACAATAATGCGAGAGCTAAATGCTAGGGAAAATGTTGCCTAGATGAGACATGGTATAATTTACACTGTCATTTTAGGTTTCTCACTGACAAATAAGGATTTAGGCTCGTGTTTTTAAAAAAGTATTTAAATAAACATGGCTTGTCCAGTTTTGTTGCTGACTCCCATTAATGGAGTAGTTTTGCCTCTAATTTCTGTGGTACTCCCACTTGGGATAGGAGCAGTGCTCCTGCTCTCAGGAATTTTAACATTGTTACGTGTGTCTCTGAGTTTCTCCTGTCAGATTAGTTACTCCACCTGTGTGAGCAGCAGTAGCCGTGTTGGCGGGAGACGCTCTCCCTTCAACACAGTGCTGTCTTCGTGGGGGTTAAGGTTGGTATAACTACATTGCTCAGGCAATGTGGCTATGTAGCAAATTAAACACAGTGTAAACCTGACTTGAGTGATGTCTGAATAGTTGCACTATTCAGCTCCTCTTGCAGGGACTGGCCAGCAAAGCCAAACACTATGGTGCTTAGAATATAGGACTAGGCAGATTTTAAATGGTGTTAGGTGACTGAATATGCAGATGGACACAGTGTGATTTTTGTTTCAGGTGCATAACTCTCACTTTTTAAAATCCCACTGTGCACTTATCTGAATCTTTGGGTGCCAAAATATCTTGAAAAATCTCACCATTCAACAGCTGGGTCTATTTCCAGCTGCAACTGACATTGAACTTAGGGTAGTCTCTGGTAGGCTTGCAACCTTGATTTTTCTGCTATCGCTCTTGTGCTAAGGAAGTTGTTCTTGAGTCAGTAATTCCATTTCCAGGCTTCTCTTGGCTACAGTTTGTCTCTCTGTAAAACAGGGCTAAGACCTGCTATACACATGTATTGGGGACTTGGATTAATACATGTTTGCCAAGTATTTTCAGACCCTCCCCATGAATGGTGATGTGCACAGCAAGTGCAGAGTATTGCTGTTATAATGAATTTACAAAAAGTATATAAGTACTGTCAGCTTTTTTGTAAGTAAGGTAACTACACTGAGAATCCAAGTTTTACCAATTATTTGTTTACCAGGTGGGATTTTATGGGTGAAAAAAGTATTGTTCAGTGGGATTGGATTTTTTTAATATTATCACAAAATCTGTGCTATATGTACATCTGACTTTGGATTCTGAGGAAACTCATAACATTAGGCAAACTGGAGAAATTGTAAATTGGAATTTATCATTACATCAGCCAAAGAGTGAGTCTTCCTCTGCAGATATATTCAGTTCATTCACTTTTCCTGTAAACTTTCTCCAAGTTTTGGTTCACCACAGTGTGATGCTGTAACTACAACTAATTTTAACAACAAACTAGAAATGTGGTTATGTTGCAAATGCTACATTTATAGAATTGAATTCCATTTTGGGGTGGTCTTATATTATATTGGATATTGCCTCTAGATACAATGAGAGCACCAAGAATTGTTGTACATTCTGAGGCGTGCTGTTTGGATTTGTTTTAGGGGAAGGAGAAAAAAACTCCCAGTTTGGATATTGTCTCAGTTCTACCTGAGATGAAATGTATTAGCTAAAATTATGTCTGCTTTGCTTTCAGATTGTAAAAAAAACCCTTCTTGACTATAAATTCCCATAGGAGAATCCATTTTCGTACACTCTGTACTTGAATGATGCAGAAATGTTGCTATTTAGCATATAACCCGTTCATTATGCAGGTCACTGTTACTGTGCATCAGAAACCGAGTACAAAATCCTTTGTCTGTTGGCACTGATGGATTTCAGCATCAAATATTATCAATTAATATCCATTTTAATAATATTATTCAGAACTATAGAGTTAGGTTCAGATTTTAAAATTATGCATAGAGGGACTAATCAGATAACTTATTAAAGTAATTATTTAAATATTTAATTTTCTGTTGTATGCAGAATTATTGTGATTACTAGGGTTGCCAGAGGGTTTCAACAAAAATACCGGACACACTTGACATTACATCACAATCTACATTACATCTTATTTAGAAAATACCGGACATTTATATTTTCTCTCTTATATTTTCTCAATTTCTTTCCCGAACAGAAAGCTCAAATACTGGACTGTGCAGTTCAAAACCGTACACCTGGCAACCCTACTGATTACATATGAAAATTGTCCTGCAGCTTTAAAAACCTTATCCATGTTCTATTTCATTTTTTAAAATGATGGAGAGTTCAATAACAAAATTTTATTTTTAAACTGAATATTTATAGCTAATGTATAAATGCAAGACTAACTTCTCATCTGCCGAATCGTGAATAGAAGTGGATAATTCTAAATGTTGTGAAGAGATTAAAATACTAACTTCATGTTCTGCAGATGTACTTTAAAAAAACTAAGAGACATGAGAATTAGTTGAAGAATGACCTCCAGTGGCCTGGAGTGGGATTATTATGAATTTCAACCTGTGGAAACCAGCTCTATAGAGTATGCAACTCCAGGAACTAATTCTTTCCTTCTCTCTGCTAATCCTGCAAACTCTTATTGGAATGCTAATACAATCTCTGATTGGTCAATGAGTATTCATACAGCACATACTTCAGAAATAGTCAAGGAGAAAGTTGCCCTGGTCAAAGGAATCAAGGAAGAAAAAGAGGAGAAAAACCAGAGGAGAAAGGCTAGGAAGGAACCTAGAAGATCAGAAAGAGAGAAGGAGGTTAGAAATCTTGTGCATCAATCTTGGCTGCATGTGAAATCTTGGATTGGCAGTTTGGCATGTTAGAATTCCTAAAATGATGCATGGTTGCATGGCTGGTTTTTATTCGTGATACTCAGTGAGTACTCTGTGTTTGGAGACTGCCTGGAGAATAGCTTGGCCCAAAGTAGGATCAGCTGCTGCAGCTGTGAAAAGGTTATCTGCTTTTCTGCTATTGGTTTCTTTGTAATTAAAGTGAAATGTTCACAGAAGTAGCTGTTATTTCCCAAAAGCCAATAAGTTAAATGTCTGTTTACTTAACTGTAACAGAATACAAGGATAGACACAAGGAAAAATATTAACAAAAATGAATTGAGTTAACACTATCAAAAGATTCTTATTTAAAGCTATGCTGATCTACTCCATTCTTGTTTCTCATTTGAACTCTGTCACATAGAATGTTCCTGACCTTTAAGGTACGGTAACTATAAGGAGTCACCACGAGTTCTTACAGCTTTGTGTCTTTCACAGTTTTGACCTTGCAACAGCGTCGTATCACAGTAGTAAATAGGTGGATTTCTTTTTGTTTTAATGCTAGGATAAATTGATCTGTGCATAATACTCAATATAATGCTGCATTAGTAATCGCTATGGCAGACTAAATGCTGTGACATTGTTGAATTGTCTGATAGATTTTAAGGCCAAATGAGATCATTGTACTCATCTAGTCTGACCACCTGCACGTTGCAGGCCACAGGACCTCCCCCGCCCACTCCTGTAATAGATTCCTTACCTCTGGCTGAGATACTGACATCCTCAAATCTTCATTTAAAGACTTCAGGCTACAGAGAATTAATCATTTACTCCACTTCAAATCAGCAAGTGACCTGTGCCACATGCTGCAGAGGAAGGCGAATCCCCATGACAGTTTCTGCCAATCTGACTTGGGGAAAATGCCTTCCCAATCTCGAATACAATGATCAGTTAGACCCCGAGGATGCGATCGCTGCATAATAACAGCTGTCAGGAAATACACAACTTGTGCAGTTGTAAGGAGATACAGTCTCAGAGTTATTTCAATCTAGGTAATTTGGATTACATTTTTAAATTTAAGCTTTAATTTAAAGAAAATATGGGCAAGGTCAGACTGATTTAAAAATATTTATTTTACTAATGTTGCCAACTCTTGTGATACCTGGTATTTTTCTTAAAGTCCCAACTCCTGGAACCAGGTAAATATATAAGAATCTCAACTTTTATTTAAAAAAAAAATACTGGCATTCATACTGGTGGTGAAAAGCTTGGAAACGAGCCCTAAAGACACAAAACACAGAAAACAAATATAATTAACCCAAATTGTATTTTTTTTAACAATAGCTTTGTGATTTAAGCTAATTTCATGATTTATTGGGGCATTCTTGAATGATTGGGTTTAAGCAATATTAATTCTACCGTAAAAATTAATAATGTCTTCAATCTTGCTAGAAAAAAACAGGTCCCCTTAAGAACAATGTATAACTCACCTGTTTTGCTAGTTGACTAGGACTCTCTGTATGGAAGCAAGCTATTCCATTATTTCCAGTTATCTGGATCTAATTACTTGCATTCAAGCATGACAAAAATATGGTAATCTTCAGTTTTTAGTGTTTTATTAGAGTCTGTCATTATTTGGTTATGGATTGTATTTTTGTGATTATTACGTCTAGCTGTGTCCAGACTTTCCCCTTCTGTACACTTTCCACATTTCTTCCAGTTGTGTGTTTTGGCAAACATCATCTAGGCGAACTGGATTGTACAGGACTCCCAGTCTGGGAAGCAAAAGGCTCTGATTGGTAATCAGAACTAGGTTTCCTAGATGGCAGTGCAGTGAGCTGTGGAATGTCTTCTCTCTCTCACTGTGTGCCTGAGATAGAATTTGTTTCAGCACCACAGACTCAAAATAGCTGCAGAGAATGAGAAAACAAACACACAAAGATAAGATCTTGGAAGGCCAATGGAATGCGATATAAGAGATCTTTATTCTATGCCCTTTTCTTCCCTACAGATATTGTTGGTCCTTGGAAGTATGGAGCCAAATTAATACGTTAAATTGGTTAGTGCTGTAATAATTTAAAATTTAGGTACTAAGTAACCCTAGTACTGCATCTGGGATGTCCTCTGGTGAGAAGTTGTAACAGTGGCTGTCTTCAGAAATAAAAAGTAGTAAACTTTTGGTCTGCAATAGTTTAAATCTTATTATAATTCCATAACTCTTGGAAACTTTAATGATTGTTGTTTATTGGTATTGTTTTCAACACCAGCCTGTATTTGAATGATATGTGATAAGTTACAGTATATGGGGCACATGTATGTCGTCTGCATAAAGTATGCATGTGTATATATTCATATGGATTCAAAATTTGGTGGGGCAGGCACTGATTACATTTACATTCAATTGCCTCTTTTTACAGGGCGATCAGACTGCCTTGCACCGGGCTACTGTTGTAGGAAATACAGATGTAATAGCAACTCTCATTCAAGAGGGGTGTGCTTTGGACAGACAAGACAAGGTAATGAGAAGACCAGTTGGGTAATAACTACAATGGAAGGTAATATTAGCATACGCGGGAATATGCTGTTTAGAATTTATACTCTAGAGTAAACAATCAGAGCTTTGAATTTAACAGCAGTTCTGCAGTTAAGGCACCCGACTTCTCTTTGGAAATATATTCCTGTTTAACCTACGTTTGACAGAAGTTGATCGTCTTTGAGCCAGAAGTCTGACTTTCTCCTCATGATGCTCATTATTGGCAATAGGAAAGAGATCACATGCTTCAAAGGAAACATATTGCGAGTGAAGCTGTATGTAGTGCTACTGAGAGCAGATCTACACTATGGGGACAAGCTGATTTAAGCTAAGCAATTTGAGTTATGTTAGTAATGTAAGTCAATTTGATGTTGCTTAGATCTACTGCAGGGTCCACACCACACTGGATTGACAGAAGAAACTCTCCTGTTGACTCTCCTTACTTATTTTATTCTGGTGGAATACCAGAGTCAGGGAACAATCGGTGGTTGATTTAATGAGTTTTCAATAGAGTTGCTAGATCAACCCCTGGTGGATTGATTGCCGCAGCATCGAACCACCTGATGGTAGAGACATACCTAAGAAAACAGTCCAGTAAAGGTTGAGCAGTGTTGTTTGTTAAGCAAAGACATGAACTGAATGTCTGTGAAGGAACTATGTTTATATCACTACCAGAGTGAGAAAATGGCATTAATTAGCAGGGAATCATTGATTTCTTGAGGTCCTTTCCAGACGTATGATTCTTTGTCATTTCCAACTGGACGTGCTTTGCCTGATGTAGTCAGAGATGATATTGCCCAGCTTGGCAACATAACATAACACCACCCAGTCAGGTTGACTCCCAGTATATTTCTGAACTGATCAGATAGAACATTGAGCTAAATAGTACTCTGTGCAGTAATACATACTGTGGAGCTGCAATATTGATTCTCTAGGAAGTGCTTCGGGCTGTGGAGAAAACATTAGCTAAGTAGGTCTGTACATATTCTACTTCAAATTTTATTGAACCCACATTTCAGATAAGCCTGCTTAAAAGCAAATATTAACTATCTAAACCCTTCCAACACACACATTTTCCCTGCTTAGGTCAGAAGCTGAGTCCCAGGCTATAAATTTTTTATAGAAACCCCCAAAACTATAAAAGCAAAAGCCTTCCATGATATTTGATTTACTAGCCATCCATATGAGGTTTTGGGACAGCCTTCTCCTCATCCCTTAAACTTCCTTAGTGTCTCTGAAGACTCAGCATCAAAATGCAACAAAAAAGTCTGATACAACTGAAGGCAAATGGTGTGTGTGAAAAGGCTACTCAAAAAACACCCTGTAGAGGGGTAAGGGTTCTGTGACACAAATGTGTGTACCCTGGTGAGAATTCATTGCATTTTTTTGCTGTGCACAGTGTAAAAACCTATGCCATGTACACATGGGGAAGGAAAGCAAGCAGGAGTTAAAGAATATTTAGATAAATTATATGTATTCAAGTTAGCAGGCCTGGTGAAATTCATCATAAAGTAGGTATTTAAGGAAATAGTTGAGGTAATCTCATAACCATTAGTGATTATCTTTGAGAACTCATGGAGGACATCTGAGGTCCCAGAAAACTGGAGAAGAACAAACATAGTACCTAGCATTAAAAAGGGGAACAAAGAGGAGCCAAGGAATTATAAACCAGTCATCTTAATTTTGATACCTGGAACAATACTGGGAAAAAGTGTTAAAAAATCAGTTTAAAAGCACCCAGAGGATATAGAGTTTAGGAATAGCTAGTATTGATTTCTCAATAACAGATAATTCAAAACCAATCTAATCCTATCAGAGAGAGAAATTACTTGCCTAGTGGAGTTTGAAAGAAGATGTGATATACAGTGAAAGTTTTGTTATCTGACACTCATGGGGAATAGGGGTTGCCGATTAACTGAATGTGCTGGATACTCAGACTTATTGCTCTGTCCCCAATTCCTACATGGAAGAAACCATGGTGACCAACCCCTGCTTAGGAACACCTGGTGACCCTTCCCCCCAAGCCACAGAGCCACAGATAAATGGGCCAGCTGCCTGAGAGCCCTCCAGAGCCTTTAGCTATGATCTTTGAAAAATCATGGCAGACAGGGGAGATTCCAGAAGACTGGAAAAGGGCAAATATTGTGCCCATCTATAAAAAGGGGAATAAGAACAACCCAGGAAACTACAGACCGGTCAGTTTAACGTCTGTCCCAGGGAAGATAATGGAGCAGGTAATTAAGGAAATCCTATGCAAACACTTGGAAGGTAATAAAGTGATAGGGAATAGCCAGCATGGGTTTGTGAAGAACAAGTCATGCCAAACTAATCTGATAGCTTTCTTTGATAGGATAACGAGCCTTGTGGATAAGGGAGAAGCGGTGGATGTCATATACCTAGACTTTAGTAAGGCATTTGATACGGTCTCGCATGATATTCTTATTGATAAACTAGGCAAATATAACTTAGATAGGGCCACGATAAGGTGGGTGCATAATTGGCTGGATAACCGTAGTCAGAGAGTTGTTGTTAACGGTTCTAAATCCTGCTGGAAAGGGATAACAAGTGGAGTTCCTCAAGGGTCTGTTTTGGGACCCGTACTGTTCAATATCTTCATCAGTGATGTAGATATTGGGATAGAGAGTACTCTTATTAAGTTTGCAGATGATACCAAACTGGGTGGGGTTGCGACTTCTTTGGAGGATAGGGACATAATTCAAAATGACCTTAGCAAGTTAGAGAAATGGTCGGAGGTAAACAGGATGAGGTTTAATAAAGAGAAATGCAAAGTGCTCCACTTAGGAAGGAACAATCAGTTCCATACATACAAGATGGGAAGCGACTGTCTAGGAAGGAGCATGGCGGAAAGGGATCTAGGGGTCATAGTGGACCACAAGTTGAATATGAGTCAACAGTGTGATGCTGTTGCCAAAAAAGCAAATATGATTCTAGCTTGTATCAACAGGTGTGTTGTAAGCAAAACTCGTGAAGTCATTCTGCCGCTCTACTCTGCACTAGTTAGGCCTCAGCTGGAGTATTGTGTCTAATTCTAACCAGTGAGAAGCAATGGAGCCCATTTTGTACACGTCAGTGTAATATGCTTGGTTACGAATACAGGGGTTGGTGAAATAGAGGGAGTTAAGGCTGAAGGTAGGAGATGCCCATGGAAGGTGTTCAAGCCTAGTTCTAGCAAGAACAGGAACATGATTTGTAATGCCCAAACAAGGGTACAGCACCTATATTCTGAATGTAACATTCCTGTGTGGACACAAGACCCTAAACTGCTGCTCTTGTATGTGTGCTCTTTAGGATGGGAATACAGCGCTTCATGAAGCATGTTGGCATGGATTCAGTCAGTCCGCCAAACTGCTTGTTAAAGCAGGGGCTAATGTTCTAGCCAGAAACAAGGTGAGATGCATGTAGAAAGAGCTTTCAATTCAGATATAAAATAGCTTTTTCTCATTGGTGGTGTTTTCTGGTAATGGCATTTCTTAATAGGTGGTGGTCCAGTTCCTAGTGGGGTTTCTCATTCTCTTTGAATTAATTAGGCCTGGCTGATTCCACCACAAACATTAGGAAATTGTGTATTTTGACAGCTGACACAGGAGGAGCTCAGTAATATTTTGAATAATGATATATTAATTATGGCTGAAGCACACTGGAATTGTTATAGTCCGCTATGGTGTCCTAATTTATATCGAGTGGATTCATTCTGATGGGCATGATTAAATGAATATGAATTGAACTAATAGGGAAATAAACTGGATTTTAATGCTATCAGAAATTAGTCAAAGGAATGCATAAACCACAAAAGAAGAAAGACAGTATATCCATTAATGTACTAGGATTGAGTCTTATTAAAAATTTGTGAGGAACTTCAAGTGACTCTTTATATTATAATATCTTATGAGCAATTCAGGAGAACCAAATCCCCTCCCCTGCCAATAAAAACAAGGGGTTTTATGACCCACCAGAATTGCAAACACGATACTTTGTAATGCAAAAATAGGTGAGCCACCAAGTGAGGACTTTAAAATTACATTCTAAATTGGTGCAATATATTATGGCATAACAGTGTCCTTAAGCTCAAAATGAAATACCATTTCTCCCACCCTGTAGTCCAAAGGTTAATAGAATAATCTGAAAAACAGCAAGGGGCGATGTACAGTATATGCTAAATTAGGGCTTGGAATGTTCAACCAGTTGAGCAGTCAGATTGTATGGACATCACTATATGGTGTTACAAGCAACAGGAATTTAGAGCTACTAACCCTATTTTATCTTGGAGCATTTTTTTAAAAGAAAATGTATGTACAATTTCAGTAAAAAAGTTTATATGAACCAATAGTTCAAAACTAAACTATACAAACAATACTTACAGAAAAAAGAAAAAGAAAGGAGAGGTATGCACAAAAGCAACTATGAGTAAAACTACATACTCTGCTGACATAGAAACAGTCCCCATATACTGGGGTGGGCAGTAATTTTTGTGGGGAGGAGGGGAAACATAATGAATTTTTGTATATGGTCACTGGCCAGCTCCAACTCCTGGAAGGGACAGGGTTGGAGACTAGCCTCCCCCCCAAAGTTCTCTGAGACCACAGGCTTTGAATTAAAAACACAAGGAGCTCGCAGTGCCTGATTCCGCCACTACTGCATTGTCTGGCAGCTGCCTGGACTTGCTGTGGCTATTTAAAAGATTTGCGATTCCAGCCCCTGCCAAGGTAGCACTGTGCCTGGGAGCCCTTTAAATAGCCACAGCTCTCCCAGGTGGCTGTCAGGCACTGTGATAGTGGCAGAGCCGCAAGCCCTTTAAATTGCTGTTATTTAAAGGGCTCTCAGCTCCATCCTCTGCCAGGGTAGCACCACCACCATGAGCTATTTAAATAGGATCCTGCTGCCTGAGCCACTGCCTGGAAATTCAGTGGCAGGGGCAGCAGGATATGAATAGAAAGTGGCCAGATGCAGTCTGCAGGCCGGATCAAAGTGTTAGGTGGACCAGATCTGGTTCCTGGACCGCATCTTGCCCTGCCCTGCCCTATGCAGACTACTTATGGTTACTTTATAATATGTAAACAAAATTGTTTTGATACTGTTTTACTTGATTTATAACATCCGTTTTATGTTCGGGTTAGGGTTTTCAGATGCTCATATTAATATATATTAGACATTCTTTAGATAACTCACATAGTTACAAATATCGGGCAATAAAGAGAACTTTTTTCTATGTCCAAAACTGAGGCTACGTCTATACTGCACCTCTCTTGCGCAAAAGCCTATGCAAATGAAGTGCAGATCAGCATATTTCTACACTTCGTTTGCATAATTAATTAGGGGCCTTTTTTGCACACGGGGCTTTTGCACGAAAAAGAGCTGTGTAGACGGCTCCTTTTGGTGCAAAAACCCCCCTCTTGAGTAAGAGCCATTCTTCCTCATTTTTTCGGGAAGAACAGCTCTTGCGCAAGAGGGGGGTTTTGTGCAAAAATGGCCCCTAATTAATTATGCAAATGAAACATGACAATATGCTAATCCATGCTTCATTTGCATAGGCTTTTGCGCAAGAGAGGTGCAGTGTAGATGTAGCCTGAGAGAGTGTGAATGCGTGTGTGTTATAGTCCTGTTAACAGTGTAAGAATTGCTACTCTGTGTACATGGGTGCCATGCGCATTAGAATATTTTAACTAAGGAGCTATGAATGCTGCATAAACTGTAGGGGTATGTCTACACTACAGTATTATTTCAAAATAGTTACTTTGAAATAAGATATTTAGAAATAATGAGTCTACACACAAAATGCATTTCAAAATAGCATTTTGCTATTTCGAAATAGCGCGTCCACACTGAATGGACTCTGAATCACATTTAAGGCTGGCCGGAACCAGTTTCAGCAGGGCACCAGGTCAGGACTTAGCCTCGAGCAGCAGCCACACAAGGTATCTGAGGTCTGTGCTTAAAGGGACCCTCCCCTCCCCCCAGCCAGCCAGTTCTCAGGTTTCCCTGCTTGCTTGTCTACCTTGACGAGGGACAGCAAAGCATTTTGTCTCTGCATGCTCTGGTTGCCCTCACTCGGGACACCACAGCACTGTGCAGCATGGAGTCAGAGCTGCCCCTGGGCACTCCGGTGCTTTTCTCGGATACGTTGCTGCGAGCCTGGCTGCACTTTCTGCAGGCTGCCACCTGGGAGGTCCATTGGGGGATTGTCAGTATCCAGGAGTCCCTGCGGGAGAGCCTCCACCCTGAGGAGCACTAAGAGCCTCCCTGGTTTGCCCCACTGGGGACTTGTGCCTCATTCCTCCCTCACGTCCTTCCACTTACCCCTCCCTAACTCCTCTTCCTGATGTCAAATAAAATACATATATTTTCATGAACACAAACTCTCTTTATTTAACAAAATGGCAGGGGGGAATGAAACTCTGGTGAGACTGGGGAAAGGAGGCAGGAGAGGGGAGAAGAGATGGTGGGAGAGAAGAGGGGGAAACCTGGGAGGAGGGAGCTGGAAGCAGGAAAGAAGGGGGAGGGGAAGCTTAGGGCTCAGGGTCTTGCTGGACCAACTTGATTTTCATGCAAATCTGCTCCTGGGTTTGCATGTGGCCTTTGGGGGCCAGGCTGGCAGCTATCCTGCCATAGACGGCCGCATTCCTCCGTCTAGTGCAGAGATCATGGATGTTGGGGGCATCCCCCCCAAACCTGAATAAGGTCCATGATCTCCACTGTGGACCAGTAAAGCACCCATCTTCTCCGGGTCCTGGCAGGTTCCCGGGAGCTGGCAGACTGCTCCTGGGGAGCAGTGGCTGCCAGTGGCTTGCTGGCTCATGTTTTGGGGCCACTGGGTCAGGGGCAGTGACTGCTGGCTCTGGGCTGGCAGGCTTGGAGCTGGCACAGGCACTGTGGCCAGAGTCTAGCCCTTTAAGTGCTCTGGTGAGGAGGGGAGGGAGAGGAGTGTTCTTGGTTGAGGCCGGAGTGGCCACCAGGGCTGGAGCACCCCCTATTTTGAAATAAGTGTCTACACAGCACTTATTTTGAAATAGCTATTTCAAATTTGGTGTTATTCCTCGTAGAATGAGGTTTATCAAATTCAAAATAAGCGCTCCGCTATTTTGAATTTATTTCGAAATAACAGTTTGGCTTTGTAGACGCTAGGAAAGTTATTTCGAAATAAGGGCTGTTATTTTGATATAACTTTGATATGTAGACATACCCTAAGACATTTTGATACTGCCTTCTCTTAAAAAGTGTGTGAATACAGTAGATAGGCAAACACACACAGCTAGAATCCAAAGGGTAGCATGCCAGTGTTCAAACATACACACCCCTTGCTTCTGCTTTCAATGGCAATGAAGAATTTTCCTAACTTTACTGAATAATTCAATTTTATTTTCACTTCATCAAAGCTGGCTTCTTTTCATGCTTCTCAACTTCTTAATGCACTTAAAGATTCAACCCAATGGGTCTATCAACATGATAAAATACAAAGCATAGCAGCAGTCAGTGTGTACAGGCAGTCCCTGGGTTACGTACAAGATAGGGACTGTAGGTTTGTTCTTAAGTTGAATTTGTACGTAGCTCGGAACTGGCTCCAGATTCAGCCGCTGCTGCTGAAACTGACCAGGGGCTGACTACAGGAAGCCCGAGGCAGAGTTGCTCTGCCCCCAGCTTCCTGGAATCAGCCACTGATCAGTTT